TGTTAACAGTTACCCTTTGTGGCATGTTTGCAGTGTAATCACTGATTTCTGGAAAGCTTTTTTGGCATTTCAAGATATTTTAAAATATCTGATGAATTTATTTTTATAGAAAATTTTAGACTTTACTGGCATTGCTTTACAACATTTTACTTTAAAAAGTAGAGGTTGTATGCACTCAATATCCCCATTTTTAACACAAGGAAAAAATAATAATTTGTAGAACCGAGCTATACAAATAATAGTTTATTTGCATTTCAACTAGTTAACAATTTCAGAGATCTTCACATACAAAACTTTATGAAACTCTGTCTTACTAGGTGCGAGTAAGGAGGTACTAGTGCTTTGTTGAAAAAAAAAAGAACATTTTTATCCTTGGTTTTAATATAAGTAAATGCTTTCATGCCTATTTACTTAAAACAAAAGTATTTTGAAGTTAACAAAGCTTTTTTCTTCATTTTGTGTGGAAAGAATGTGATTAGGTTGGCAAAGAAATAAGAAACACAAACCAAAATTAACTAGGAAGGCTTAATTTATAGTGAGATAAAATGTTATGAAAGGTAAAATTATTTTTAACAAAATGAGCTAACTTTACTATAAGCCTACTAAAAGTTCAAACATCACTAGAGGGCATTTTGGAGAAAATAAAAGACACAACACCACTATTAATTTAATTTTCTCCCTTCTCCTGCAAATGCTCTGCAGTATGGTAGCCCTGCACCACCTGGTCCTGCAAATGCTTCCTTCCCAAGGTGGCTACCTTAGAAGTACTGAACTGCTAATGTCAGTTGTATCAGCATTCATTATGTGAGCAGAAAAACCATTTAATCTAATCTCGGGTATCCGCAAAGCACGTTCTGCACAAAAGCAATGTAAAAAATATAGGAAGATAACAGTGGACACGTCTGCCACAGGAGTTTATTCACAGGTGTGTTGGCAAAGTGTAAAATTCAGGTTTTAATGAATTCCAAAGACCTTATTTGCACTACACCTCAGTACAGATTTCTGCCAGCATAGCTGCATCAACGAGGAATCACACCTCTTCTCATCCCAACAAAATTAGTGCTCAAGATGGTTCTCAACCTCGTCACCACTGAGGAAAAAAGTAAACATAGCTCAGTAGCTTCATTCACTTGGCACACTTCAAATGGCACGGTGAAAGACACAAGTGAGCTTATGAAAATATTGGTATGTATGAGTCTTTGGGGCTTCAAATGTTTCGCAAAGTGCTAGAAAATTAAAGGGTTTCTGGTTTAGTGTGTCTCTTTCCATTGCCTTAGCTGCAGAGTGCTTTTTTTTCTTCTTCTCAAGTTATAGTCTTAGTGCTCAGCTGAGAAGCAATGAGAAAAGAAGTGACTGGGTGACAGCATGAGATCAGCCTGTTGAGTGGTAGCACTCACACCAGAGTAAAGCTACTATATAATCACAGCCTTCCTCACCGCCCACAAAATTGCTTCATGTTGAGCTGGCTTAATTTAACTGTGTATCATCCATTGCTTTATAGGGGCAAATATAAAAAAAATATAGGGTGGTACTGACAGAAGAGCCAAGCTCATGTATCAAGCCTATTCTTTGTGTGCTAACATACAACTGAGAGAACAGTTGACTTTGAGAGACCTGAGATCTGTTCCTGATGACTACAATCTCCCAGAAGTCTGCCAATGATACTGTGTAACAGCTACAAAAAAAAAAAAAAAAAAAAAAAAAACAACCAAAAAAACAAAGAAACCCCAAACCTCTGACCTAGGTAACCTAATGACTGAGGGAGTACCCAGCATTCCTCCACGACAAACTAAGGGAAGTTTTACCCTCAGGAGATTAACCATTTCGTTCAGGTTTGTGGCAGTTGCCAACCAAAAAAACAAAGAAACCCCAAACCTCTGACCTAGGTAACCTAATGACTGAGGGAGTACCCAGCATTCCTCCACGACAAACTAAGGGAAGTTTTACCCTCAGGAGATTAACCATTTCGTTCAGGTTTGTGGCAGTTGCGGGATCGGAGCTGAAGCCTTGCCGTGAGGAGGCAGCATTTGCCTGCCTCCAGCCTGCCCTCCCTCACAGCCCGGCCTGCTCCCTCACAGCCCTGAAGGGCCCGAAGCTCTCCCCGGACGGCCAGCAAGGTCTGAGACTCCTGTCAGGCGCCACGCTGCGGGTGAGCAGCACAGCTCTGAATAGCTTGTCCAAACACAGATCTAATGGATGTTGATAAACGCTCTGCCAGGCCTTCGGGAACTGCGCTCTGGGCGGGATGAAGCCAGTCGTAAGCTCCAACACCCATCTGCCGTCT